TTCATTATTACTACACCGCTTCAAGAGTTTCTCCCGTCCTCTCTTCCCATAATCTCACAGCCCCATCCCCAAAAAAAAAAGAATTTTCTAGAAAAGTGGAAAGTTGTCATTTCGCGAATTTCAGATTTTTCGATGTAATACCACTGGACAGGTGCGCTGAGGAGATTCTGGATGCAATTCTGAAGGAACGAATGTATTATTTTATACCATGGTCACTCTCATTTCTCTGTATTTTCGTCAAGGGGTTTGTACAATAAATTAATTTTGACGTTTCACAGACTCATTTTCCTTATGCTAATATTGGAACTACACTTACTGAAATGATAACATAGTAAAATTCTCAGTTCTTATTTGTTTTAGCTATTCAACGAAGTTTGCGATTCCGTACGTTCGACGTCTCATAAACTGTAAATATGAAACTCTCAACAATGGATGCGACATCATCGTGGAAAAACAATAGCGCCTGCCAGTTATTTTGCCAGAAGAATGTTACATATGTGAATAATGCCGAAGTGTTTGTTGAAAAAAATGGCCGCTTCGTTTTTTTTTTTTGTTTTTTTTTAAATATTAATCCAGTTTTTATTTTTCACATCCATCAGATATAATTACAAATACAGGGTTCAGCACTGATGAAAAATATGTGCTCTCATAAACTTTGCTAAAGTTGTAATAATGCTAGTGGCGACAAATTTCACGTGCTTGCACGTAAGCAGCGGGGGGAATGTAAATATCGTTTTTATGTGCACTTGCCAAAAAACAGTCATGGGCCATGTTCAGAAAATTTCAGCAGTCTAGCTGCTTTGGTTACGGGGTAGCATCAACTTTCATGTGTTCGTACTTAAAGGGTAGAGTCTTTGGGCTTAGGCTGTGCCAGAAAGAGAGCTGATGGTCGCTTCCTGACTTGCTTTCCTTTTCGGTCAAACCGTATTTCACCAAACATCATCTTTTCGTGATTCAGATACACACAAACGCAAAATACTTATACATCTCACTGCAGTTCGTCATCAGCTTTTGCATAAAGCATGAAAACTGGAATGACACAAATCATGCACTCAAAACTTCCCTGGTATATTTTACCCTAAAAAAATTTTCCATGAGAAAGCTTATAGGAGCAAGAGCAAAAAAACACGGAGGGTAGGGAAGGAGCGCTGCTTGAG